TCGCTTATGAAAAGATGTCTTAAAGTGTCCTCTTTCTAATGCAGAAAACCGCACTTCATTATCTATCTCCCGCGAGGAGTTATTCAAAAAGCAACCGAGTGCCAACCATTTTGAAACGGAGAGTAGTAACTATAGAGTGAGATATATGCCAGACAAAAAATACCGCAAAACTATTCGTAGACCAGAATATACAAACACTATAGTAATTAAAATAAGCCTAACCGCCTTCAAATCAAAGTTTACCATTATTTCTTTTCTATAAGTTTCGTACTACTGCTGTTTTCCACAGAGGCGTCTATCCCCACCTGAGAGTTTGAGGCATAACACCCTACGTACCATTTTGTACTACCTGTATAATATATTCTGCTCAACGTACTGCTTAAAGAAACTTTTTCTCACCTTCAAAAATGCAATTTTTTCCCATTTGCGGACAGCACTGAATAAATTTTTTCAAAAATGCCCCATATCATCTTATCAATTGAGGCGTCCGACTTCAAAGGTGCCAAAGGATAGGACTCTGATCTTCCACAAAAGTCATAGTGTTTACATGCAAAGATGCATACAATCAAGAGCTTGAACTATAAACTATCCCTATCCTTCGTCTTTTTTCTAAAGCAAACTTGATGTCTGTTACTTGTACTTCGCATGTTTATCATCCAATGAACAAACCACAAGTATCCCTAGAAACTCTCGAAAACTTCCCAAATATGTTTGAAAGAACGATAGATTTACTACATAAAACATCATTTAGCTGAAATAACACTTGATTACATAATTATGTTTGATTATATGCAAAAAAAATATTCTTTTAAATGTATAAATCATAAGCAAATTATCATCACAAACGTTGACTGCAAACATTCGCCTTATACTTATGAGATAGATGTTTTAAGTGTTTAAAAACTTTTCTTCGGAGCATATCTTTTCTTTCTTAGAGCGTGACGTAAACCTCGTTTCTGACGAAGGGCAAAACGCCTTTTTCTTCGATCGCCTCCATAGTCCGGATATGAGGGTGGATCAGGATATGACGGCTCTTCAGATGGATCGGTGGATCCCACTGGAGGCTCGGTGGGTTGCACTGGAGGCTCGGTCGGTTGTACTGGAGGCTCGGTCGGTTGTACTGGAGGCTCGGTGGGTTGCACTGGAGGCTCGGTGGGTTGCACTGGAGACTCCGTGGGTTGTACTGGAGGTTCGGTGGGTAGCAATGGTGACTCGGTCGGTTGTACTGGAGGCTCGGTGGGTTGCACTGGTGACTCGGTGGGTAGCAATGGAGACTCGGTGGGTTGTACTGGAGACTCGGTGGGTTGCACTGGAGGAGTCATGGTTTGCACTGCACTGGACGTGATGATAGATGGTGGCGGAATTCGGCTTGACGCTGTTTGTGTACTGCCGCTCGACGCAATACATTGATAATCTAAATTGCAACGTGTTTGTTTCACTTGCGTACACCATGCAGAGTTTCTTAGTTCATTGGCAGCTGTCGTCCAAGCTTTCATTTCAAGTGCGGTTTTCATCTTCGTGAATTGGTTCAATGTGGCACAACCTGCAAATGCAACATCGATGAGTCCTGCTTTGACTATCGGTGGTAATCCTGAAACATATTCTTCAACACATGCTGTAGCTTCCACATATGATCCACTATTAAATATTTCTGCAGCCTGATTTTGCAGCAAGCAATTATGTCTAGTGTTGTGTACACAGTCATTCAGAACTTCTGAAAGAGTTAAACCATAGCGTTCCAAGACCGACGCTGCATCTGATCGTTGCAAATTAAAACCATAGCCAATTGTGGGTATATGTTTTGTATCGTAATAACAGCATAGTTCTACACCTTCGTTTTGCATTGTTTGACCAGGACCACATGTCGTCAACACCGTTCGGATTATTGTTAATATACATACAAGTTTCGCGACGTGTAGTTCCATGACCTTTATAAAATAAAAGATGGTCGGAAGTAGGCAGCAATTTTGTTGATTAAATATCTAGAAAAACACTTTTTTTTCACAGGTTTTTACGAAAAACTTTAGAAACCTGTGTAGAGATATTAAATAATCGATATTATTTAATTAACGCACAGATAATCTATCATAATGTCTTACAAGAGAAATGCAACAGATTGTTACCAGCTAGCAGTAGACATGAATCATTAGAACAGTTGTTTTATCAGCTACTTGTGCTTTAAGTTTGTTTTACTGTGCTCCCTCCTTACCTTGTTTTTGTGTTTTTGCTATATCAAATGATGAAAACTACAATTTATTCGTTACGAAGAAAAAGGAAATGATTTGCATTTTCATCTTCGAGAATATACCCATGATATTCGGTCCTGAAGTGGTTGTATAGAAACTGTTAAGTAAGAAAAACAGTCCGCATATCATTTGTGTACTCTACTCTATAGGCAAAATGAATAAAAGAAAATATTTTTACAAACTACTTTTTGTGAACAAACCTGCATCATTTGCTTTCAGAGGCTATTTGTTTTAACGCTTGAATGCATAAGAATCAGTCTTTATTCACTGTTTAAGATCAGTATATTTGTGCGCGCAAATTATTTTGATCAACAGAAATAATAACTTTAGTGCTCGAAATTATGCCTATTCAATTTATGTTAAAAACATTGTGCTTGGTCAACTGAAAAATACAAACAAAAATACATTTTTCGATAGGTCTATGTAAAAAGTTGATCATATGCGCAGAATTATAAGTAATGTATTTGTTGCTCTTATTGTCGAACTCTACGACTTCAGCATAAAAACACTACCAGGCCTTAATACAACTTCTTCGCTCATTCCTGAAGAGAAATCTTGTAATTCTCAACTTTCTCCATGAGAACTGAATTTTTATGCAATAAAAATAGCATATTCGGATCCTAGATCAAAAACTGAGTGGAGTTATGTGTATTTCTATCGTATGCGACAAATTTATTTGTTTCCAATTTTGAAAAATGATTGAGATTTTAAACAAAAAGTAAAATCCCTAAAAATTTCGAAATACACGTTAATCGACTTATTTTTGGATTCTGCCTCCGAATATGGTATTTCTATTGCATGATAGTTGAGTTCTCATGGAGAAAATTGAGAATTACGAGTAGAATTCTGACTTTTTCAACTCTGATTTAGAAAAATGTATTTGCTCAACAATGAAAGGAAACTTGTACAAAAGCGAGACGTAGTTTCAAAGTCGAGTCGGCGAATACAAGGAGGTATAAACGATGGCTTCAACCCTTAACACAAGAAGGTAGATAGCTTTACAAAACTGCATACCTGTCATTTAGAGGCTCGGTTCGGAACGTCCATGTTTTAACAGGCTTTAAACTTTGTAATTGACCGAACAGCATCCTTCTACTCAGTTTTTAACGCTGAATCAGAAAATAAAACGCTTTAATATATCCAAACGGGCAAAGAAGACGAAAATTTGAATTTTAATATCGATGTGTCATTCTTCCATATATAATGCTACCCATATAAAATTCTTAGTAGAACCAGTTGGCGTTAAAGTTTGAGCGAACAACGGTACAGTAACGATACTATCACCTGTAGTCTTTTCCTTTATAGTCACATTATAAAGGAAAAGACTCTATCAGATACAATCGTGTAATAAACTAATAGTTCACAAGACAGTGTGGAGACATATCCCGATTTGGAAGTACACTCAGTCGATATATATACCGTTCCGGATATCTATCTTTTTTTACAGCAAAATTTTTCTAATATTCCGAATGGAATATAGTCTGAAATTATATCCTGACCAGTATATAATTCAATACCCCGATTGAGATATTAAAAGAATCTATATTCCCATCAGGATATCAAAACATTTCCGTTGGTTAGTGTAATTTCTAACTTTCACATTAACATGTTTTTCATCAGATCTAATTAGTTTGAAAGGAGTATTGCCCTTCAGGCAATATGAGTATAGATGAGTTATAAGTAAGTTGTAATTCACTCACAAAAAATATAAGGTAGTTTACTTAAAGAGTTATATGTTGTCGACGCATGAGAAAAAGAAATGTGTGTTTCAATATATGTGTGTTTCAATATATGTGTGCATTGCAAAGGAAGAAATAAAAAAGGAGTGTCGGTGTGGGAAGCGATTAGATCAAGAGTATACCCCATTCTGAGCAATAAAACATTTACCGCTATTTCTCGATCGAGATATAAATTCGACTAAAATTTGTGAAACGTTTTTGTTCGAAAAAATAGTTCGTGGATGCTTGATACACTTTTAATCAAACCCAACAGAATCCGATGTAGTTTTTCGAGCTCTTTCTAATGGTGACGTCAGTTTTCCCCCATAACGTCATCATTTTTCCCTTAATCGTTCTTACGAAGAAATTTCGTGTTTTATATCCCGATCGGGGTATTAATTTCTTTCTATATCCTGATCGGGATATAAGAGGTGTCCCCTTACTGCAAGAGTGTAGGTTATTAATACTATTGGTCATAACAGATGTTTCTGACCATCGCTAAATGTTTCACATATAAATTCAAAGACTTCTGCTTTCGCTTTGTCATGTTTGTTTTAATGGACAACAGTTAATGAAAGATACATTTACACATGGATGATAATATTTTTGATACCAGAACAACTGCATAATCATATGAAACTTTAATACAAACAGCAAAAGAGTCGGAGCATTTAAAAAACGTACGCTCGACACTCTTGATTGCGGTTAGTTTCTGGTAATGAAAGAGAAGACTGTCTCTCTAACGGAAAAAGGGTGTTACATAAAATGTGGTTAGAGGTTTCTATGCGTACTGATGGCAACTGATCATCAGCTTTCACAAAATCCCGTGGTGAGCGAAAGAATCGAATGGAAAGGACGTATACGACCAGAAAAAGTGAAAGCGGTTGTATTCATATTCTGAACAAATATTGAAGTTGGTCTGCACAGTTAGGATGTTTTTATATACTCTGTATGCTCACTAGAATATAAATGTGATGAAGAGCTCTTGATGAGATATCTAGCAGAATTTTGGAAAGTGAGACGGTCTTTCCTTTCACTACAAAAGCCTAACAGGGTGCATGATTGATAAAAGAATTACCCAGGTCGAAGAATCGTACTAAGATCGTACACGATTGTGTAAGATCATACGAGAAGTACACTGCAAACGCTATGACACTTTCAAAGTTTTGAGAGTCAGATAACTCGTGAACTCATGCTGACGTGATAGACGTGACTCCTATTCCATACTTGGCTTCGAAACACGTACTCACTCTGATAAGCTTTTCTGACTGGTGAAGAGCTATAGCAACTGCTTCTGTAAACTAAGGTGGAAAATATGAACGTTCTCATCGTAAAAAATATTTATCAATTTTGTACTAACAAAATCGAGTTACAACAGAATGAATACTAATTCCGACAATACATTCGTTCGACTTACAAGCAATGGGCTAAGTGAATCGATGCGATTCATGTTATTTATGTTTAATCTATACACTGAAAAAAGAGCGAAAAAAAAATGCACTTCAGGCACGTCAAAAGTGACTTTATTTTTGATTGGTAAGATGGAATTTCCATGTAGAGAATTGAATGCTCTACCGATCAGCATATCTTTTTTCAAAAAAATGTCTAGGTGACGAAATTGAAGTTACAAAATTTTAAAATTTTAAATTTAAATTTTTACGTTGAAGTTTTAATTTTTATAGCTTTTAAAATTGATTTTCGTGGTCAGCGTCAAAAACTGCATCTAGTGATGTGCCTTTCGATTTATTTAGATAGAAAATTGTTTCTGAAAAGTCAAGAGCTCCCGTTCTCACAGTTCCAGTGCTAACAGTTTTAGTTCTCAACAGCCCCAGTTAACTGGAACTGGTGCATACCTGGTCTCAAAAGAGATACTTTTTAATTAATAAATATTACCGAAAACTCACACGCACTTTGGATATCTCCTGTGATGTTATTTGATCTTACAAAGCCAATTATAATAGATTTGTATCTCTTTTGAGAAGATACACTCTACTCATTTCGATGGTAAACAATAAAGTTTTCCATAAACAGATGTTTATCGCATCTTTACAGTTAAATGCGTTTTGATAGCTTTCCCATTCGAAAGTGAATCATATAAATTAATAAATACAAAGCAATAGCACATTTTCTTTTCTCACACTGTTTAGAAACCACCTAGCTTCACGAAGTTTGCTTTACACTACTCACAGATACCACTTTTGAATTTGGAAAAAAACACAATGCTACTCAATCAATACAATTTCAGTACTCAGATGGCCTCAGGATGCACCTTTCCTTGATTGATGCTAAGCTATTGTAATTGATTTTTAACAGCCATTACCAAAAAGGAAAAGATGTTTCAAAAAGAAACTAAAAGTTACTATTTATAAGAAAAATTTTAAATATGTAGGAAAGGAGAGAAAAATTTACGAAACTAATAAACTGAGATTTTCTGACTTTGAAAGAAAAGCTTAAAAATTTCACAACTTTTTCAGGGAAGGCCGTGAAGAGCCGGAAGTAGTCTAATTTTATAGTCCAACTTTCCTCTACATTAGACTATGTTCAGCCCAAAAAACGAGGGGGGATAACCTTAAATCAGAAAGAATGTAGAGGAAAGAATGAACCTATTAAACTTTCTCTTGTCTGATGTAACAGAAGGATTATATTACTTCTAGATGAAGTAAATTCGATCTTACAATATTTGATTTTGGTCAGTTATATACACTTCCTTAGTTGTCCCCAAAGTGCAGTTGGAAAATATTAATTTTTTCTAGAACCCATAAGAAAAAGGTCTCCAACAGCTCATTGTGATCATACAGAGTTTGCAATATTGCCAGATCTTCTTTTCGTTTTGCAGAATACGAATGCTTAAAATTGAATAATTATTTTTTGGCATAGGAAATAATTGAGAATGTAGCTTCGCAGAATTTCCTCCATATTCTTTCATGTTTGAGATGTGCAGAAAAATCTTCAGTACGTTTT